GCACGACCTGTCACACACTAACACATTCGGCACTATATTGCGGAAACGCACGCTCGAAACGCAAAAAAAGTAACCAATCCCATTAAGGAAGAATTCACCCTACGCTGATAAACGGAAAAAGCCGGAGTCAAAAGCCTCATTTCTGAAATATAAACCAAAAAAGTAAACTGCGCAGCACGACCTGTCACCCACTAACACATTCGGCACTATTTTTCAAAAACGCACGCTCGAAACGCACAAAAAGTAGCCAATCCCATTAAGGAAGAATTCACCCTACGCTGACAAACGAAAAAAGCCGGAGTCGAAAGCCTCATTTCTGAAATATAAACCAAAAAAGTAAACTGCGCAGCACGACCTGTCACCCACTAACACATTCGGCACTATTTTTCGAAAACGCTAGCTCGGAGCGCAAAAAAAATATCTAATCCCGTTAAGGAATAATTCACTCTACGAGGATAAGTGTAAAAAACCGGGGTCAAAAGCCTAATTTTGGAAATAAAAACCAAAACAGTAAACTGCGCAGCACGACCTGTCACCCACTAACACATTCGGCACTATTTTTCGAAAACGCAAGCTCGGAACGCAAAAAAAGTATCCAATCCTATTAAGGAAGAATTCACTCTACACTGATAAATAAAAAAAACCGGAGCTAAAAGCCTAATTTTGGAAATATAAACCGAAAAAGTAAACTGCGTAGTACGATCTGAGAGCCACTGTCACATTCGGCACTATTTTTCAAAAACGCACGCTCGAAACGCAAAAAAAGTAACCAATCCCATTAAGGAAGAATTCACTCTACGCTAAGCGATGAAAATAACCGGTGTCAAAAGCCTAATTTTGGAAATATAAACCAAAAAAGTAAACTGCGCAGCAAAACCTGTCACCCACTAACACATTCGGCACTATTTTTGGAAGACGCACTCGCGAAACGCAAAAAAAGTATCTAATCCCGTTAAGGAATAATTCACTCTACACGAATAAATGAAAAAAACCGGAGTCAAAAGCCTAATTTTGTAAATATAAACCAAAAAAGTAAATTGCGCAGCACGACCTGTCACCTACTAACACATTCGGCACTATTTTTCGAAGACGCACTCTTGAAAGGCAAAAAAAGTATCTAATCTCATTAAGGAATAATTCACTCTAGACGAATAAATAAAAAAAACCGGAGTCAAAAGCCTAATTTTGTAAATATAATCCAAAAAAGTAAACTGCGCAGCACGACCTGTCACCCACTAACACATTCGGCACTATTTTTCGAAAACATACGCGCGAAACGCAAAAAAAGTATCCAATCCCATTAAGGAAAGATTCACTCTACACGAATACATAAGAAAAACCGGAGTAAAAAGCCTAATTTTCGAAATATAAACCAAAAAAGTAAACTGCGCAACACGACCTGTCACTCACTAACACATTCGGCACTATTTTTCAAAAACGTAGGCGCGAAACGCAAAAAAAGTATCCAATCCCATTAAGGAAGAATTCACTCTACACGGATAAATAAGAAAAACCGGGGTAAAAAGCCTAATTTTCGAAATATAAACCAAAAAAGTAAACTGCGCAGCACGACCTGTCACCTACTAACACATTC